ATTTGGGATTGTTCTTCCTTCTTTAAATAGGCCCTACCTGATTGGTATATACTTTCCTCTTAGAACTGGCTTCAATGCATCCAACCAAAGTTGGGGCAAGTTTGGTCGTTGATCCATTGATTATTTAGGAGCATGTTGTTAAGACTCCAAGTGTTTCTGCGGCTCTTTGTTTTCTTTGTACAATTTATTTCAGTTTTATACCTTTGTGATCTGAGAAGTTGGTTGGTAGAATTTCAATCTTTTTGAATTTACTGAGGCTCTCTTTGTGGCCTTCTGTGTGGTTTATTCTGGAAAGTGTTCCATGTGCACTGGAGAAGAATGTGTATCCTGCTGCTTTTGGGTGTAGAGTTCTGTAGATGTCTATTAGGCCCATCTGTTCTAGTGTGTTTCAGTGCCTCTGTGTCCTTTCTTATTTTCTGTCTGGTTGATCTGTCCCCTTTGGAGTGATTGATGTGTTGAAGTCTCCTAAAATGAATGCACTGCATTCTATATCCACCTTTAATTCTGTTGGTATTTGTTTCACACATGTTGGTGATCCTGTGTTGGGTGTGTAGATATTTATAATGGTTATATCCTCTTGTTGGACTGATCCCTTTATCATTATGTAATGTCCTTCTTTAACTCTTGTTACTTTCTTTGTTTTGAAGTCTATTTTTTCTGATACAAGTACTGCAACCCCTGTTTTTTCTCTATTGTTTGCATGAAATATCTTTTTCCATCCCTTCACTTTTAGTGTGTTTATGTCTTTGGGTTTGAGGTGAGTCTCTTGTAAAAAGCATATAAATGAGTCTTGCTTTTTTATTCATTGTATTACTCTGTGTCTTTTGATTGGTGCATTCAGACCATTTACATTTAGGGTGACTATCAATACATATGTACTTATTGCCATTGCAGGCTTTGGATTCATGGTTACCAAAGGTTCCAGGGTAGCTTCTTTGCTATCTAACTGTCTAACTTTAACTCTCTTATTACACTATTATAAATACAGACTGATGATTCTTTATTTCTCTCCCTTCTTATTCTTCCTCCTCCACTCTTCATATGTTTGGTGTTTTATTCTGTACTCTTTTGTATTTCCCTTGATTGCTTTTGTGGATAGCTGATTTTATTTTTTGCCTTTAGTTAGTATTTGTTTGGTCTGCTTTCTTTGCTGTGATTATTTTTTCTCTAGGGACATCTATTTAGCCTTAGGAATACTTCCATCTAGAGCAGTACCTTTAATATACCCTGTAGAGGTGGTTTGTAGGAGGCAAATTCCCTCAGCTTTTGCTTATCTGGAAATTCTTTAATCCCTCCTTCAAATTTAAATTATAATCTTGCTGGATACAGTAGTCTTGTTTTAAGGCCCTTCCGTTTCATTCCATTAAATATATCATGTCATTTCTCTTCTGGCCTGTAAGGTTTCTGTTGAGAAGTCTGATGATAGCCTGATGGATTTTCCATTGTAGGTGATCTTTTTTCTCTCTCTGGCTGCCTTTAATACTCTGTCCTTGTCTTTGATCTTTGCCATTTTAATTATTATATGTCTTGGTGTTGTCCTCCTTGGATCCCTTGTGTTTGGAGATCTGTAGGCTTCCATGGTCTGAGAGACTATTTCCTAACCCAGCTTATGGAATTTTTCAGCAATTATTTCTTCAAAGACACTGTCTATCTCTTTCTCTCTCTTCTTCTTCTGGTACCCCTATTATGTGAATATTGTTCCATTTGGATTGGTCACACAGTTCTCTTAATATTCTTTCATTCCTAGAGATCCTTTTATCTCTCTCTGCCTCAGCTTCTCTGTATTTCTGTTCTATGATTTATATTCCATTAACAGTCTCTTGCACTTCATCCGATATGCTCTTTAGTCCTTCTATTGATTGTTTCATTTCTGTTATCTCCCTCCAGACTTTATCCCTTAGCTCTTGCATGTTTCTCTGCAGCTCCATCAGCATGGTTAAGACTTTTATTTTGAATTCTTTTTCAGGATGATTGGTCATATCTATCTCTCTGGCATTGTTTGAGTTATTTTGGACTGTACCAGGCTTTTCAGCCTTTTCATGGTGATAGAAGTGATCACCAGCAGGTGGCACATGTGTCAGGTGGGAGAACAAAGTCCCTTCCTTCTTGCTGGTTGCCTTGTTGCCTTGCCCTTCTCCGCTGCCTGTGCCAGTTACCCGCACACAGGGAGCAGTCTCTGGGTTAATTCCCTGAGCTGCCATGGGCGGGACAGCCCTCGGGATGTCCAGTGGTCGCAGGCACACAGTGCATGTTCTCCTGTAAGAACAACATCCCTTTGGGCCTTCCGGACTTTGCCCATAGGGCACTGACAGTGGTCACAGGCACACATCGTGTGTTCTTGTGTGAGAACAACACCCCTTCGGGCCTTCCAGACTTTGTGCCACCTTCCTCTCTCTGTGCTGGGTAGCTGCATGCTGGCAGCAGCAGCTGCTGGGTCTGGCCCAGTTAGTTGCATGCTGTGGTTGCTTTGGGCGGTTCTGCTCCCTAGCTGCTCCACAGCAGTGGCAGGTCAGCTGGTTTCCTTGCAGTGCCGGCAGGGGAAATGAACGGCAGGCTGCTTACAGCCATGAGGGGATTTTGAGCTGTGTTGCCATCCACGGGGTTGGGGTGCCTTAAGTTCCTTAAGATTCCCAGCCTGCTAGAGTGATTGTGCCAGGATGATTTTGTCCCCTGTTAAACCCTTGTCCCTTTAAGACTTTTAAAGTGCCCACTTTTCTTTTGCCCTAGGGGAGCCAGCTATGGGGACCTACTCGCAGTCTCTGTCTCGGATTTTACTTTTCTGTTTCTCTAATATTCAGTGCACCATGCAATGTGTGTCTGTCCTCCCAGTGCAGATTACTAGGGCTGGTTATTTAGCACTCCTGTGTTTCTACTCCCTCCCACCTCTGATTCTTTTCCTCACGCCAGTGAGCTGGGGTAGGGTGTGTGCTCTGGTCCCGCCAGGTCACGGCTTTGTATCTTACTCTTTTCATGAGATACTGAGTTCTCGCAGATGTAGATGTAGCCTGGCTGTCATACTGTATCTTCTGGTCTCTCTTTTAGGAATAGTTGTATTTGCTGTATTTTCAAAAATATGCATGGTTTAGGGAGGAGATTTCCACCACCCTGCTCATGCTGTCATCTTGAACCAAACTTTCAATATATCTTGCTTTTTTAATCCAATCTGGCAATGTCTGCCAATTACTGTGAGTAGACTTATGCTATCTAATATTGTGGGAATTAGTCATACATGGTCATTTAAATCAAACAAGTAAAATTTAGAATTCAGTTCTTCAATTGCACTAGCATATTCAAGTGTTCAGTAGTAACTAGTAGTTACTATCCTGGACAACACAGATAGAACATTTCCATCATTTCAGAAAGCTTTAATGGATCATGCTGGCATAGAATATTTGCACTCAATTTAATTACCAATATAGTTGAGATTAAGTCTACCACCATGCCATCAATTTCCTCTATTGACTTATTGACTATCTCTCAGTTTTACATTTTTAGTAGTTCTTCTAGGGTTTATATGAAATATCTGTAACTTATCACTGTCTATTTCCAGACAGTACTATACCACTTCACATATAGCTTAAAAACATTAATACAGCATAGTTTTTCCCCTCTTCATATCCTTTTTACTAATTGTTGTCATATGTTTTACTTATGCACTATAATGCACAGCCATTTCCATTGATCTTATCATTTTGATGACACAAATACTGGAAAATGAAAAACCCTATAACAAAGGAGTACTATTTTGAATACTTTGTCTTCACTTATATTAAAAAAGAATATTTTAAGAAAATTTATTTTAGAGAGACAGAATTTTGGCTTTTGGTAACCCAGTAACAGAAAAGAAACCAATGTTTACATCACCTGTAAGTTTTTACATCACAAAATTCATATTGTCTGTCTTCTCAAGCTTCTATTTTTGTATATAGTACAATTATTTGATAAATATGTTATATCAAACTCAAAAGGGGTTTTACATTTTGCTTTACATCTTCTCAGCTTTATGCTTGGAGGCTATATGATTTTAAGAAAATACAGAAGTAATAAAAAATCTTAAGATCCATCAGATAGCAAATTAGTAAATTATCTTTCATTTTAATTATAATTTGACTTTTGAGCCTCCATATTCATATGTAAAATACTATGCATCATGTTCAAGATTTTGGTCTTGATTTTGAAGAGGCATGTAGGTTATTATGTTTCATCTATCTCATTTTGCTGTTAGAGGCTCTTTTAAAATTATTTTTTAATTATTTGGTTTCATTGTGGCCATTATTTCCTTTTCACATTATATTCTTTACACTGTTTTTTTTTTGTTAGGTAACAATGGTTTCTGGATCTTTTCATTCAAGAGTTTAGGTTGAGACACCAGATCAAGATATGATTTGTTCCATCCAACAAAGTCTGTGCCTGTCAAAGTCTGTACTTTTCAAATATACAAATAACCACTTGTTGCTCTGAGACAAACTGTGATCATCTCCATCACTCACAAAAGCCAAAATACCATGTTCATTTCCAAAATGCATTCATATAATATGACTTTTGAGACACTGAGCCTCCCCTACCTAATACCTTTTGACAAACTATGTTTTATGGCTCATTTCTCATAAAGACGGTTTCATTATAAACAGCACTCATGAGTAAACTGACTCTTTTTTCATAGCAAGGAGCCCAACTCTCATATTTTTACTGGCTTCCTAACTAAATGAAGCCCCTATTTCTAAAAAAAATGCACACTGAGCTGAAAATGAACAGCTACTTCAGTATGGCTGTTGTGGACAGCCTTAAAAGGGAACTAATACAATCTATTCTCAGTCTGAAAAGACCTAACAAGACCATAGGAATAATAATATATTCACTAATTATTAAACACTATTCATTTTTTACAGAAGAGTAAAGTTCTGTAACACAAAATCTAAGGATGTCAAAGTGTCAATTTAAAAAAGGTAACAACAAAGCCCTAAGCATTAGTTCCTCAATGAGAAGTCCTGGATACTTACCCAAGTCTTCCTAGCATCTCAAACTCAGGAACATGTGGTCCACATGTCTCTATTTGCAGTGGCTGGTATTCGTACAGTGTTTCTTCTAGTTTCTGAATAGGTGCCAATGAAATATGCTGACCCTGTTAGAAACATTAATGAAAGCATGCCTTTTAATATTATTTTCACACTACTACTTATTTGTAAGCATTTTAAGGATGGACTAACTTTCTCACATTAAAAATATTATTTTGAGAGTTGGAGGAAGATGGTGGAACAGGAGGTCACTTCCACACACAACAAAGAAGCAACTACATCAAATACTACTGACTTTGAAAACAACCTGAATACTGTAGAACAGACCACCTAAACAAGGCTAACAAGAGAAGCACATTTTGAGGAGGGTAAAGGGGCAGAGCTGTGATCAGTCAGGATCCAAGCCCTTCCCCTATCCCAGCCCAAAAGCAGAAGGGAGAAAAATGAAGTGCAGAGGGGATAAATGGTCACGAACCCAGCCCTGTGGATCTGCTCCAGGAAGACAAGTCCTCATTGCATTAAGCTTTGAAGATTAATGGACTGACATCAGGGAAAGTTACATTGGTATGGGGGGCCGAGTCACCAGTTCCTCATGGAGGACAGGCTTGTTCTGCCAATCCCTCTGAGACCCAACACAAAGGGAGCAGTTTCAAAGATTTGCTAGCCTTGGGAAGTGTGCCAGAGTGAAGGGAGTTTGAGGAAGCTCTCTCAAAAGGAGAAAGGGCAGGAAAACAACACTTTTACAGCCTCCCCAAAGCACAAGTGACCAGATACTTGGAGGAACCTGCTCTGACACTACACCTATCCCAGTGAATCAGCCCCCACATTCTCCTGCAAACCTGCCCCACCCAACTCACTCAGCCCTGTGGTAGTAGGGCACTGCTGACAAACAGACAAAGGGTGGACCTACCCACAGAGAACGCCAGCAGAAATCAAAGAATGACATCAAAGAAAGGCACTGCAGTGGGGATCTGCATTGCTGGTAGAAGGACAGAAGGCGCATCTCACCCACAGCCAACAACAGGCACCATGGCTCAGCCACAGCATTGAATTGGTCTTTGATAAGCAGGGGATTTGTGCATCTGAGCACCACAGGACACATACCACAAAAAGCCACTACTTTCAAGACCAGGAGGCACAGATGATCTATCTAATACAAAGGAGAAAGAAACACAGAGACCCAAACAAAATGAGGAGGCAGAGGAATATGTTCTGAACGAAAGAACAAGATAAAATACCAATAAAGGTTCTAAATGAAACAAAGATAAGCAATATTTTTGGTAAAGAATTCAAGTCATAAAGATGCTCACTAAATTGGAGAAAAGAATTTATGATCTCAATGAGAACTTCAACAAAGAGAATGAAAATGTAAAAAGAACCAGTCAGATTTGAAGGATTCAATAACCAAAATGAAAAAATTAAATAGAGGGAATGAATAGCAGGTTAGAGGAGGCAGAGGAACAGATCAGTGAGCCAGAAGATGGAGCAGTGGAAAGTAAAGAAGCTAAGAACAGAGAGAAAAAAGAATTTCTAAAAATAAGAAGATATTAAGAAAGCCCAAAAACAACCCCAAATGAAACAATATTCACATAATAGGGATCCCAGAAAGAGAAAAGACAGATAAAGGGATAGAAAGTCTATTGATGAAACAATAGATGAAAACACCCCCAACCTGCAGAATGAAACAGATATCCAGGTCCTGGAAGACCAGAGAGCCCATAACAAATTGGACCCAAGGAGGTCCACACCAAGACATATAAAAATCAAAATGGCAAAGATTAAAAAGAGAATCTTAAAAGCAGCAAGAGAAAGGAAGACAGTAAGCTACATGGGAAACTCCAAAAGGCTATCAGATTGTTCAGCTTTCAGTTCAAAAAGAAGACATAACATTTGTGAATATCTATGCACCCAACACAGGAGGACATGAATGTATAAAGCAAATACTGACAGACATGAAAGGAGAAACTGAACTACATGATAATACTAGTGGACTTTAACACCCAAATTACACCAATGGATAGACCACTTAGACAGAAAATAAAAAAGGAAATAGGGACACATTAGACCTCATAGACATTAACAGATATATACAGACCATTCCACCCAAAGTAGAATACACATTCTTCTCAGGTGCACACAGAACATTCACCAGAAAGGATAGCATACTAGAACACAAAACAAGTCTTAGTAAATTTAAGACAAATTATATCAAGCATCTTTTCAGACCACATGGTATGAAACTAGAAATTAATCACAAAAAAAACAACTTAAGAATAAAAAAAACACATAGAGGCTAAACAACATGCTTCTAAATAATCAATGGTGGATCAATGACCAAAACAAAGAGAAATCAAGTAATAAATGGAGACAAATAAAGAGAAAAACACAACAGTTCAAAATGTAGGGACACCCCAAAAGTGGTTCTAAAAGGGAAGTACATTGCAATACAGGCCTACCTCAAGACACAAGAACAATCCCAAATAGCCTAAACTCACAATTAATAAAACTAGAAAAAGAACAAATAAAACCCAAAGTTAGTAGAAGGAGGAACATAATAAAGATTAGAGCAGAAACAAATAATATAGAGAATAAAACAATAAAAAAAATTAATGACACCAAGAGCTGGTTCTCTGAAAAAATAAACAAAATAGAAATCCCTAGCCAGACTCATCAAGAAAAAATTCAAAAATAAACAAAATCAGAAATGAAGAAGGATTAGTCACAACAGATACCACAGAAATGCAAAGAATTATTAAAGAGTACTATGAAAAATTATATGCCAATAAACTGGACAAGTTAGAAGAAAAGGATAAATTGCTAGAACATACAATATTCCACGTCTGACCCAGAAAGAAACAAAATCTGAACAGACAAATTACCACTAACGAAACTGAATTGGTAATCAAAAAACATCCAACAAATAAAACTATGGAACAGATGGCTTCATGGGTGAATTTTACCAAACATTTAATAATGAGCTAACATTTATGCTTCTTCAAGTAGTCCAAAAAATAGAAGAACTACTCCAAACTCACTCTACAAGGCCAGCATTACTCTAATTCCAAAACCAAAGACACTACATTAAAAAAGAGAAAAATACTGAACAATATTTCTCATGAACATATATTCAAATGCTCAATAAAATACTGGCAAACTAAATTCAAAATTACATCAAAAGGATAACCCATCACCACAAAGTTGGATTTATTCTAGGATGCAAAGATGTAACCGTATCTTCAAAACAATCAATATAATATACCACATCAACAAAAGAAAGGAAAGAAACTGTATGATCATCACAACAGATGCTGAAAAAGCTTTTAACAAAACAACACCCATTCATGCCAAGAACTTTCAACAAAGTGGGTACTAGAGAGAATATAACTCAATATAATAAAGGCTGTATACAACAAACCCAGAACTAACATTATACCCAAAGGTGAAAAGCTAAAAGCTTTTCCTCTAACATCAGGAATAAAGCACAAATGCCCAACAAAACAAAACAAAAGTAGTAGAACCAGCTATACACAAAATCAGTCAAGGAATACCAAAAAAACACAGAATATGACTTCTAATGAATGCATCAAGTGTGGAGGAGAAAGAAGAAAGAAAAAGAAGTGCTTTTAGACTGTGTTTAAAATACAGCAATCATCAACTTAATATAGACTGTTATATACTAAGGAAGATATCCTTGAACCTTATGTTGGCCACAAACCTAAAGCCTATAATAGATACACAAAAAAACTGAGAAAAAGAAAGGAATCACAACACTAAAGAAATCCATCAAAAACAAGAGTATAAAAGAGGAAGAACAGAACAAGGAGTAACTATAAAAACAATCATAAAACAATTAAGAAAATGGCACTAGTACATATACCTATGAATAATTACCTTAAATGTAAATGGACTGAATGCACCAATGAAAAGACAAAAGAATGCCTGAATGGATAAAGAAACAAGGCCAATCTATATGCTGCCTCCAAGAGACTCATTTCAGACTCAGACATACAGAAACTGAAAGTGAAGGGCTGGAAAAAAACTTCCAGTACTTATATCAGACAAAATAGATTCCAAAACAGAGAAATTAACAAGAGACAAGGATGTTGCATAATGACAAATTATATCAAGTATCTTTTCGGACCACAATGGTATGAAACTAGTAATCAATCACAAACAAAAACAACTGAAGAAAAAAAACACATAGAGGCTAAACAACATGCTTCTAAATAATCAGTGGTGGATCAATGACCAAAACAAAGAAGAAATCAAGTAACACATGGAGACAGTGAAGAGAAACAAGATGATATAACCATTATAAATATCTATGCACAGGAGCACCTAAATACACAAATGCTAACAAAATTAAAGGGGGAAATAGATTACAACACATTCACTGTAGGAGATTTTACCACACCTCTCACATCAATAGACAGATCACCCAGACAGAAAATAAATATGGAAACAGAGGCAGTGAACAGCATATTAGATCAGATAGATCTAACATATCTATAGAACATTTCACCCAAAAGCAGCAGGATACACATTTTTCTCAAATGTACATGGTATGTTCTCCAGAATAGATCACATGCAAGGCCACAAAAAGAGCCTCAATAAATTCAAAAAGATTAAAATCTTCTCAAGCAACTTCTCAGACCACAATGGTATGAAACTAGAATTTAATTACACAAAGAAAACAAAAAAGCCTAAAGACACATGGAGGCTGACCAACATGCTTCTAAATAATCAATGGACTAATGAACAAAGCAAAGTCGAAAGCAAGACAAATGAAAACAAAAATACAGCAGTCTAAAATTTGTGGGACACCACAAAAGTGGTTCTAAGAGGGAATAGATAGCAATGCACAGGCCTACTACAAGACACAAGAACAATCCCAAATAAACAGACTACAATCACAATTAGAAAAACTAGAAAAAGAAGAACAAATGAAACCCAAACTTAGTAGAAGGAGGAGCATAATAAAGATCAGAGAAGAAATTAAAAAATATAGAAGAATAAAGCAATAGAAAATAATCAATGAAACCAAGAGCTGGTTCTTTGAGAAAAATAAACCAAATGGACAAACCCTTAGCCAGACTTACCAAGATAA